CTTTAATCTTTGTTGGCATTTCGTATGCAATATTGTAATGGTCATATAAATCTAAAGTTATGCACCTCTTTGAATATACGTGATTGTAAGCAAAAGCGAATACAAAATTCAAAACTCTATCCTAAAACTAACTATTTTATAAATTTTACCCATTACACACTTGTTAGCACCATCATAAGGGATAGAATTGGTCAAGTTGACAAATCAACAGTAAGAAAAAAGTAGTGCAATTTCATTAATTTAAGCAACACCATTCTTGCAAAAACTACTCTTATAAGAACATAATTACATTAAACGTAAAACCAACATTAATTAATTCCAATATTCTAACCACCAAAACCATAGAGAGTACGGCCTTGCCTCTTGAGCGCGTACACAACATCCATAGCAGTAACCGTCTTCCTCCTAGCGTGCTCAGTGTAAGTTACAGCATCACGAATCACATTTTCCAGAAAGATCTTCAGCACGCCACGTGTCTCCTCGTAGATCAACCCACTGATACGCTTCACTCCTCCTCTACGTGCCAAACGCCTGATTGCTGGCTTTGTGATACCTTGGATGTTATCACGGAGGACTTTACGGTGTCGTTTTGCCCCTCCCTTTCCTAATCCCTTTCCTCCCTTTCCACGTCCTGACATCTTCAATCAACTTTCAATTCTCTGCAAAAATCATTTCATTTATCAAAAATCAACACACAGTAGCTAAATTTCTTAAAATAAAATATAAAATCCATCTCAAAATTAAAAAACTAATGTGAACAAATGAGTAGAGTGAGAGAGAGAAGGATAGAATGGTAAACCTAATAACAATTGGAAGCTTAGGAGCTTGAATAATGAAGATAGAGATGATAATGGAGAAAGCGGCTATATTGCTGGGATATATAAAGAGGGTGACGCTGGTGAGAGCTTCGATCTATGTCGTTGTCACGTGGATTAATATTTGCCGTGGATGAGGATGTTTGACGGTTGAGATGAAATGTGATTAAAGTGACGAGGATTGATGACCTGGCACTCTGTGTTTGTTTGAATTGAGGATCCAAAATTTGAATGTTTTTCTCCTATTATAGGGTGGGGGAAACTAGAAATAGGGGCGGGACTGATTGGCGATTACCGCCATAGATGAATACTTGAAAATGGGCCAGAAGCAACTGGGTTATGGTTTGGCCCTACCATTCTGGTTTAGTCTTCTCAGGTATAGCCCTAAATTGTAATCCCAAATTTATGTTCTATAACATTTGCGAAAATAACATTGTATAGTTGCTCTCAAAATAATAGTAAAAAAATACATAATATATTTTTTTGCATATATATACATTATGTATATTATATACAAAGAGTATATAAATTTTAAATATTTTTTTGATTACCAAATGTAAATAGTTTATGGTGCGGGCTAAAAGTAATAATACCCCAAAACATTTACCAATGGACATACAATATGCGAGATTTATAAGAAAGTAGTTTTTGAAGTTAAGTTGCAAAAGAGGTACTAAAAAATTAATTTGTGTTTGGACAGACATTTCACTTGAAAAGTATTGCAATTTTGTGAGATAACCATTATTTACTTTAAAATAAGTTAAAACCACTTTCTCAAAAATTTTAATAAACAAACGGCTCCTAGATTTGCAGTTATTGTATAATATTGTAATGGGTCGTTTGGTTGGAATAAGATTTGTACCGATATAAGTTATATTGAGATAAGTTAGGTTGTGATTGTTATTTATTCATTATTTGGTATGTTGTATTAATAAAGACAATTGCATAATTTCTAAGAAGAAGGTATAAGTTATACCGGTGCTAATTACCCCACCTTCTATAAGGTATAAGTTATCTCAGTGTTAAAATTAACACCAAGATAACTTATACCTGGTTTGCAACAAAATATTAAGTTGGTATTAAATTTTTATACCACCCTTGTACTTTCTTATACCTCATACCAAACAACCCCTAAATATGTTCATACCACTAGTCAAAACAAAAATTAACACCCCTCCAATGTACCAGCAGAAATATTGTCAACATACAATTGAACACAAAACCACACTTTGGAGGGAATTTAACTGAGATCTTTAGGCCAGAGTAATCAGCCCTAGAATGAGCATTCATTTATATACTTTTAGGTAATGATGCAATATTCATTTGACTGTAGTGCCCTCTTATGGAAAATATGAATGTGAAACTTACATCAGAACTACTCCTTTTGAGCTAAGCTGGAAACGTGGTATGAAGAAAACTTATTCATACCTTCGATACAAATATTAACTTGCAGTAATGGTAATCTTCTATACCAATAATTAAGCTGAAGCTTGTTACCTATTTATTTCCATATAATGGTAGAATTTTCAAATAATATCTGGACTAGTGGTCACAATGAGTTTAGTACTATTACCGTGTTTGGCCAACCTTCTTTTTTGCCAAAGGCGCTTTTTTTTTTTTGCCAAAAGTACTTGGCCAAAAATTGAGGTGTTTGGCCAAGCTTTTGGAAGAAAAAAAGTGTTTTTGAGAAGCAGAAGCAGAAAAAAATAGTTTCTCTCCAAAAGCACTTTTTTGAAAAAAATACATTTAGAAACAGTTTTTTAAAGCTTGGCCAAACATTAATTGCTGCTCAGAAGTGTTTTTCAAACTAATTAGTCAAACACGAACTGATTCACACCAAAAATACTTTTGAGAAAAGCACTTCTCAAAATAAGCTGATTTTTGCAGCTTGGCCAAACAGGCTATACATGTGCATCTCACTTGCTCTGTAGTTGAATCACCTCCTCGAGTGGACATAGCTTACAAGAGAATTTGCAATTCACAATGTAACTCGGGTTCTATATTTCAGTAATCCTACACATTTTTCTTTATTTGGATTTTCATGAATTTCTAATGATTTACGCAGGCTCAGAACACCTTACGTTTTACTAAAAAGTCAAAACAATACAGAAGATGCAAATAATAAAACAAGAATGGCTGGCAATGCACTGGAAATAGAGCTAGTTTTCAACAATATTATAGAGAAGATATGAATTCTAATGCAACCAGCTGGCAATTGATAGTTTTCTGTGACAGAAGAATGTAGCAGTTAACACTGTCTTGCTTCTGCAATTCAGATTCTATAGACGTCCAGGTAAGAAAATTAACACAAAAATCTAAGTCAGCTGTTCTGAAATACAGAAATGCACAACCCTACTGCCTCTTTTCCTAAGCAAACTAGCAATCCAGTTTGGAAATTAATGCAATCAAAAAGTCACCATTACTGTTTATCCATAAGAACAATTGGGCAGTCAAACTATAACAAACACAAAACTGTAGTGAGACAGATGGTGAACCTGAACCAGTCAATCATATTCATTGAAATAGAGCAAATTTCAGAAGTACTGAAACAAGCATCTACCAAATTCAGCTTACAAAGGCGAGCAATACTAGTGCAAAAGAACCCTATCACCAGTAGGTAACCATACTAATTACACCAAAACAGACCCCTAATCAAAAGCAAAACAAACACCATATACCATATAGTAATCATTCTAGTTCTTTTCTTGACAGCAAGACTTTTGCAGACAAAACAAAAGTCAAAAACCAAAGCTTCCAATTAACCTCCAAATCCATACAAAGTTCTTCCCTGTCTCTTAAGAGCATACACGACATCCATAGCAGTCACGGTCTTTCTCCTTGCGTGCTCAGTGTAAGTAACAGCATCACGAATGACGTTCTCCAAAAAGATCTTGAGCACGCCACGTGTCTCCTCATAGATGAGACCACTGATACGCTTCACTCCTCCTCTACGAGCCAAACGCCTAATTGCTGGCTTTGTGATACCTTGGATGTTATCACGGAGGACTTTACGATGTCGTTTTGCTCCTCCCTTTCCTAATCCTTTTCCTCCCTTTCCACGTCCCGACATTTTCAATCAACCTTTAGTTTCTCTGATTCAAAACAGCAAACATAAACAATTTAGCAACTAAATCGACCATATAAATGTAATCCATAACAAATTTTCGGAATGTATGTATAGCAAAAAAGTTAAACAACAGAAAATAAAACCCTGCGTTTGTAAAGATGCTGAAAACAGAGACAAGTTTCAGGCATTAACTGATAAAAACATTAAAAATATAAAAATGTCAAATTATAAACTGAAATGCGTAATTAAATTATGTAGAGGTGAACCTGAAATTGAAAGTTTCTGAATCTGAAAGATAGTGAGAGAGATAATGATGAGGACGATGAAAAGTTTGGGCAAATTGGGTTTATTTATAGCTAGTTATTATTTGTGATGGGGTGGCTTCGATCCGCGTGGTTGTAAAAGAAGTGATTATTGCCGTCCGATTATACGATTTTGACGGTCTCGATGCAGTACAGAAAGAGTGACGCGGATTGCCAGCGTGCCATACATTATTTGTTTTTTGTTTTGTTTTTCGGGTTTGAAATTAGGGTGGGAAAGACTCAAATTGGTTAGCATTGAGCGGGACAATGTAATTGACCGGGCGAGGGGGAGGGGGGGGAAGGATTTATTTTGGGCTGAGATGGGCCATTAAGGAGTTTTTTTTGACCAATATTGTCCCTTATAAAGAATAGGTCTATTTTGATCCTCAAAATATTACCTTGAGCATATTTAGTCTCTTAAGTATGTTAAAGTAGAGCATATTTGGTCTTACTGGCGGAATGTGTTCAAAAACTAATGGTGTTAACCAACTCTGATTCATGAAGCAAATCTTCTGCTCTAAAGCAAAACGTTTCCGCTCCTTTTATTGGATAACGCAAATTATCACTTTAATTCCTCATTTTTAGATAATGTCTTTTGTATCAGTTTTCAATGAGAAAATGATACTGTATAGCCGCTGTAAAAATAATAGCCGAAAATTTGTATAAAATGATATTTATACAAATTTTATATACTTTTTTGGCTACCAGATGTAAATAGTTTTTGACGCGGGCTAAAAGTGATAATACAATCTGGTTATTCGTTTGCTTCAATAATATGCCTATAAGTGATTTTGGCAGCTCTATTTTTTTCAAATTTTAACTTTTCTTTTTGGAAAAATCAACCGAAATTTTTAAAAGTATAAGTTTCAATGTTAAAATCTTAAATTTATCAGCTCTGTACTATTAGTAGGTGTTGGTTTATAAAATATTTTCGATAAGTAAATTAAAAAGACGGTGAGTGCCGAAACCAACCCCGTAATTGATCTTGGACATATTCTGTCAGTGAAACTAAAGGTGTTCCAGTTTAGCATACTTAAGGAACTAAATATATTTAGGATTATATTTGAGATACCAAAATAGACTTACTCTCAAAGATAAGGGACAATATTAGCCAAACAAAAACTCGGCCATTAAGCACTTACAATGGGTGAGCTTGTCACAAAGTCCAGCGAACCACTAGGAGTTTATAACGACTCGTATATAAGAAAAAGCAGAGGCAGGAGCCTTCGATTTTTCGGTGATTTACACAGTAGGCTATTTGTTTGTATTGTTTAAATTTAAATTAGTTTTGCAAAAATAACTTAGGAGTCAGGCTTGGAACTTGCAAGTTAAAATTCGGCCGCAAGCCCCGGTGAATATCCAGAAGTTCTAATGGAAGGCCAAACCTATCTTGCTTACACTAGTTTTACTAGATCGTCAGAACTTTAGCGTAAAATTGTGTCATAACTTTTGAACAAATCATTTACTAGTCATGAAGAATTGCCAAAAATTCTAACGCAAAACATACTTACCTTGTCTCCTATTAAATTGTTTGGTGACAAGTAAGTTAGTTTGCTCCTTGTGTTTGATCTGTTATTAGTATCGCACTACGTTATTCTCATTAATCGGTTATAGATTAGAAGTTATTATTATTAACTAAGTTTAACCTCCCCCATTACATACATTTAATTAATTTAATCAAATATCTACATTTTTGGTCAAACAATTTGGCGCCGTCTGTAGGGATTTCCTAGTTAAAATTTTAATTTCTTCTAGATCTATAACTAGCAAAAAAAAATGCAAAATCCTCTACTCTCTTGTACACACTGATCTAACATGGCAGAAAATGGAGAAGAGAGGATAAAGGCAGTGGCCGACCTTACTGCCAACCTCTTAAACACCATCAATGAAAATTTGGAAACGGAGGGTGAAGATGTAACGCCAAATGCATCTCCCAGCAAGTGGCTCACCCCTCATTCATGGTAGCATCACAGCGTCCCGTGGTGAAGGGGCTTTCACATCCACAACAGAAGAGGCACCGACGGCAGTAAAGAAACTACTTGAGGCTTGGCTAACAAACACGTTGACTAGCATCCTCGACGATCCCTCCCAAAAAGCAATCAAAGAAAATGCGAGGACCAGCGTTGCACCAATAATGGCCGAGTTGTATGATCCTCTCTCTTCAATAACAGGTATCACTCACAATGTTAATAGTGCAGGTGACGATACCCTTTACGGCCATTCTGAGGAAGATGGAAGAAATGGAAAACGAAAACAAGATGCTTCGAAACCAAATGAAAGAGAATTAATAAAGGTTAGACAAAATACCAGGTGCCCTAAAACTCTTACCAAAAAGAGATGATGGTCGGTTCGTAGAACAACCATACAACAATGAAGTTGCACCGCATGCATACCCAAAACCTTCAAAATGCCACCCTACCTAAAAATATATGACAGTACGACCGACCCAGAAGATCATGTGACTCACTACGTCACCACAGTAAAGGGCAACGATCTCGCCAAAGAACAAGTATCCTCCATCCTACTGAAAAAGTTTGGCAAAACCCTCGTTGGAGGCGCATTAACTTGGTATTCACAGCTGCCCGCGCGCTCCATTAAAACATTCGAAGAAAGGGCCGGCAAGTTCGTAACGGCCCACACCAAAGCAAAAAAGGCGAAAGCAAGAGTGAATGACATATTCACTATCAAACAGGCATCTGGAGAGGGACTAAGGTACTTTCTCGCTCGGTTCAACTAAGTAAGGATGACATTGCCGAATGTATTAGAAGGCATAGATGTAGTAGCTTTCCAAAACGGGTTGAACAGAAATGGCTCGAGGGCAACCAGAAAGTTGCTGAGTCGGCTTATAAAATATCCCCCAACCACTTGGGATGAAATACACAATGCCTATTGTGCTGAAGCCCGTGTTGACGAAGGCGACTTGAATGGGCTGACCTAACGGTTAACCTCGGTACAGGACGAGTCCAGGAAAGACCGAAGAAACGATGACAGAAGAGATCTAGCAGCTCCACAACCCAACTTAGAAAGGCATCAACCATATATTAGGGGAACCATCATGCCCCCCTCCCATCATGAAGGAGGTCCATCTAGGCCAAGGACAGGGATTCACCGGAGCAAGATAGGCATGCCCCCTTTACTATCTGCTCACAAATTTTATATTTCACCTTCAGAAATAGTCTACGTGTTAGAGAAGCTTGGCCCAAAAGTGAATTGGCCATAAAAAATGAGGTCTGACCCAAGCACCAGGAAGTCAAATGCCCTCTGCGAATTTCACCAGGAGCGAGGTCATAAAATCGAGGACTGCATCGCTCTAAGACAAGAGGTCGTGAACATGCTCCACCAAGGGCACTTCAAAGAGCTATTGAGTGACCGAGAAAGGGACAACTTTGCTCGAGGACGTGAACAACACCAGAGCCTACCAAAACTACCATCTCAAACTCGAACCATTCAAATGATCATCGGAGGGGGCGATGACGTATCGATCAACAGCGTAAAATTCACCACAACCCATAAACTCAAACGGTCAATGACTCATGTACTATACGACAAACTCGAAGAAAGTACCATCTTCGATAGTTAGATCCCACGGTTTGGTTTTCCCTCACTATGTTGCTCTTGTTAGCACTTTACGCATATTAGATACAGATGTGAGATGTATTATGGTGGATGATGGCAGCGGAGTGTGCATTATCCACCCTCGAGTACTTGCATAGATAAAACTGGAGGATAAGATAGTGCCATGCTGCATCACACTAACCGATTTTAACAATGTAGTTGAACGAACATCTAGAGAAATCACACTCTCCGTCCTGGCGGGCGGCGTCACTTGGAAACCACATTCCACATCATGGATCAGGACATGACGTATAACACCATAATAGGTCGACCTTGGATACATGCCATGAAGGTCATCCCCTCTAGCTTGTACCAAGTTATCAAATTTCCCACCCCATGGGGAGTGTTCAGCATCCGAGGAGAACAATGTATTTCCCGGGAATGCTATTGTATCACTCAAGATTGTACATACACCCAACAAATGAAGGGCAAATCCAAAGAGGCATAGCAATTAACAAGGTCAAGGTCGAGCGATGATGAAATCGAGGACGTCATCAAAGACCCTAAAATAATAGAGGCCACGGGATCAACCGTGGAAGACCTCGACCCCGTCCAACTTGATAATAATGATCACAACAAGAAAGCCTATATCAGCCACAAGCTTCAGGAACCAGGTAAATTCCATCATTTCTTAACTAATAACTTACCCTCCCCCCCCCCCCCCCCGATAAGGCAAGTTAGGCGGAAGTTCAATTCTGCAATAAATGATGTAGTCCGCGAGGAGGTTCAAAAACTACTGGAAAACAGCTTCATAAGGGAATAAAAATACCCCCGATGGGTCACCAACATGGTCATGGTGAAAAGAAGAACGGAAAACGGCGTATATGCAAAGACTTCACATATTTGAACAAAGCATGCCCGAAAGACTCAGTCCCACTACCCTATATCGACCAGCTCATTGACGTAATAGTCGGGCATGACCTGTTGAGCTTGATACATACTCGGGCTATAACTAGATCCTCATGGAGGAGGAAGACCAGGAGAAGACCACCTTCATCACCCACCAAGGAACGTATTGCTATAGGGTGATGTCTTTCGGACTGAAAAATGCGGGGGCGATATATCAAAGGTTGGTGACGAGAATGTTCAAAGACCAATTCGGCAAAACCATGGAGGTCTACATAGACGATATGTTGGTCAAGTCCAAAAGGAAAGAGGATCACATCGACTACCTGAAAGAAGCCTTCGATATACTCAGGCGATACGGAATGAAACTGAATCCTAAAAAGTGCGTATTCAGTGTGACATAAGGGAAATTCTTAGGCTTCCTAGTATGACAACGAGGCATCAAGGTCAACCCCAACCAAATCAAAACTATAGAGGGGATACCGGAGAACTTAACCAACAAAAATAGGTTAAGAGACTGACCGGTCGTATAGCCGCCCTGTCGAGATTCATCTAGCAATCATCTG